ATCCCCAATTGCAATGTCATATGGGTTGGTACTTGGTTTATGTGTGTAGTGCCTCTAAGAATAACAAATAATATTAAACTAACCCATAACTTCAATGCTAATGAGGAAGACTTCCTCACTCTGCTGTAGGTTTTTTACTGACATACAAAAACAGAACTAGACAATTGCACTCTGATTTCCATATTATATTCAAACAGTGATTAGGCACAACATGGAGTCTTCATTCAGTAGGGTTTAAAAAAAAAAATCATCATTAGGTATATTTGTCACAGTAGTTCAGTAGCATTTCCCCCAGTAGCTTAGTAGCACCAAATGTACCAAGTCTGCTTCTGACGTTTTAACTTCCTCTAGAAATATTCACTGATAGGGACTTCATAGTTTCCCTGGGTACCTCTGACAAAGTAAACTTTTATGTTAATAATAAGGCAGCATTATATCAAACTCAAGCCACATATTTTTTCAGGATTCTGGTCAAGACTTTTCAGAAAGACTTTTTACTATGGACTTTTTTACTCTTCAACCACTCTTATCAAATATTAATACTGTTTACTAAATCAATAGTGAAGAAAATACTCAAAGTTCATTTTTAAATATCAACCTGAAACTGCAAATTACATAAGCAGCATTTTAATATCAGCAGAACAGAAGGGGATGTCTGCTGAAACATACTGTAAAGTTTTAACCTGTAAAAGTTTTCCCTAAAAAGTCTGATAACTTTATGTTCTCCTAGCACTCTGCTTGTATTTCTGTGTAGACAAATTCACGATCCCTATTTAAATTCCCTGACACTTTCTTTGTAAATGGCACTTTCCTTCAAGTGGAACACTGCTGGCAGTTACAGTGACCTCCAAGTTCTACAAAAGAGGTATCTGCATGCTGATGGTAGTTTAACTGATCATCATATTTACATAATAAATAAACCTATACATTTTATGAGGCTTGCACAAATGTTTTGCAGTGACATCTGTCAATGCTTTGGTTAAGAAATGTGAATTCTACTTTTTTTGGACACTATCTCCCATTCACCCCTGTTATTTGTAGAGAGAGTTGGGAAAGTGAAGACTTTCAATCTAGTGAAATTGGTTGGGCCATTATAGTAACAAAATGGATTTTCCAAAATAAGTATCAATAGCAATAATTCTAAAAACTTCTTTATAAATTCTTAATCCAAAGATAATGTAATCTGTAATGTATATCTGATTTTGTGAATCTTTAATGGCATGGTTAAAGGTTTTCAGAATCAGCCAGTAACTACAGATTAATAAAACATCAGCTTGTCTTATGATTTTATGGTAAGTGGTAAGGTGGTTTATACGCTTTAAGCACACATATTGCTTAGCATAGCAAGGTTTCTAAAGTATGAACTATATTTCCTGGTTTCCCACTATCTAGCTCTTTGGTCTTGATCTGGAAGTATCAAGCAGTTCAACCGAACTCTTTGTGTTGCTAAAAATCTTGACTGAACTTTTGCTTTTTGGCTATATATTGGTGGGATGGCTGTAGTTAAAAATCAAAAGGATAAACAAGTTACAATGTATGGTGCAAGGGTGAAAAGTAATAATCCATCTTTTGCAGCCATCGATGCACTGTTTGAAGACCTGCTAACTGTTATAAAGAATACGAGGATTTTTTTTTTTTCTCAGCTGCAAGCATTTTTTCCATAAGAGAAAAATGGATGACCATCTTGAGAATTATTTTACTGGGCTTTTTGGTTGCAGAAATCAATGACAGACATTTGCTCACCTAATTCTTTTCTAGTCTCTATGAACCAATATGAGAATTTCTATTTTTTTTTACCATTTCAGCTGAAGGAAGTGAGAGCAACTGCTGTCTTGCAACTTGCTTGTCTCTAGTTATTGATTACTGCGTGAGAAGACATGCTTTGGTTTCCAACTTGCACGCCCTTTGCCTATCTCAACTGCAAAATCCTCATGCTTAGCTGACTGACACTTTTGCTTCAAAATGCCTGAATGTGCTAAGCAAAATAAGAACAATATGAACAGCTGCTGGTTGATATATAGAATAAAGTTGATAGTTGCATTCATAATTTCTCACTTACTGCACTTGTCCCTCTACCAGCAAAAAGTCAGAGGAGTCAAGACAGGAAGTTATACCCTCTGGTGTTGTGAGCAATTCAGCTACCAGTTTCTGCTTTCTTAACTGTCTTAGGGAAGGGAAAGGAATGTCTCTTCAGTAATTGAGTCATAGGCCAGTAAATCAAAGATGAGGTAATTTGGACTAGTTAGCTTTCAAGCTCAACTTCACTAATATAGCCAACAGTGCATGCATGCTGCCCAACAGCATGAAGTACAATTGTTCTCTATAATCAACTTCTGCCAAGCTTCTCTTTTAGAGTACATCATTTGTTTGCAGTGTTCTCTAAGTTTTCAGGCATGGTCCTGTTAAAACCTCTTGTTACGGTACCTTCTCTTACATATAATACAGTCTTCCCTCATGGTACTTAATTCTGGCTGGCATCTCCAGAACTTGCAGTTTTTTAGCCTGCATTTGAAAGTACTGCATGTCTTGCATCATACTGGCTTCTCTGACAGGAGATATAAATCTTCCTGTGCAGTGCATCTGCCTATGCCTTTCTTATCCCAAGGGCACCACGGAGGAGTACGTTCTTTAATTGCCTGGATCTGCTGGCCCACTACAATGGTAACTGCCAAGGACCATTACTAAATGTGGAGGGTAAGAATCCTTGGTTTTATTTCCACTCACCCCAGCACCTCCCATGTAATCTCCACGGCTGATGAGGAACATTAGGTCACCTTCACTGTTAACGCAGCCTATGAAGTCTCAGATCTTAATGTCAAGGAGACATAACTATCTGTATCACAGTACACTGACTTTTCAGTCTCTTTTTTATAAAGAGCTTTTACCGATCTCATTAAATTTTTTACTTTTTTCCTTTGTTAGTCACCAATTATTTGTTGCTACACAAAGTTTTAGGGCTTTCTCAATAAATATCTAATAAGCTTAGCCAAGATGCTCATCTATAAACTGAGGGAGCCTTGGAAAGAACTATTTTTTTTGTAAATATGGGGGCTATTTATTTTCCTTGATTCACTTGTGAGTTTCAAAGTTGTTAACATTTACTAGTTCTCACTTGGTAAACTTGTTTTGCTCCTATGGCTTCATAGGATGATGCAAAAACATGACATTCAAACAAATTTGTCTAAGGACTTAGGTAGGGGTCTTGAAGAAGAGACAGTGTACAATTGTGCACCTTCAAAATGCACAAATTTAATACATTAAATGTGCCAAGTTGATCTTGTTATTCCCCACTTTTTCAGTGTTTTGCCTTGTAATGTTAATAATATTTATATTTATCTTGCTTTACAAAGAACATAAACACCTGCAAAGATTTCTGAGTAGGTAAATGAGTAGCTGAAAATATGTGTTTCAGATAACTGGACTATACCTCTCTCTTCCCAGTTACTTCTGTCTAAAGTAAGTTCCCCTCTCTAGTTCTCATTCTTTTTCTCAATTTTCTGCAAAATATCAAGAATATTTCTTTCTTTCTTTTTGCCTCCTACTTTGGAAGAATGGCATAGTTCAATAGTTGTTTAATTTCTAAACAGTAATAACCAATGATTCAATGGCTTACTCACTGAGCAGCAATAATTTAATTCCTAATGTTGTTTAATTTTTTTCTTCACTTCTCTGAGGTTCCAAAGTACTTTGGAAGCATCTCAAGGCTAAAAATAATGGTGAAAACGAACAGAGCATTTTCCAGGCTAACCACAGTTGTCAGATCTTTAGGGCTTAAGTTCACAAGGACACTTCATTTGTTCTTCTGAAAAATACCTATATTTAAGGGAGAATTTACACTAATGGAGGATGTCTAAAGGTAGCTATGGTAGATGTCACCAAGAGTAAGTTGTGAGAAGTATGGGGCTGAAAAAGTTGATAGTTTACATTTGGTTATTTCCCATTATTTATCTTCAAATTTCACCAGAAGTATTTTTATATTTTACTAAAGGAAGAATCACACTTTTTTTTTTTTTTTTTTTTTTTTTTTCTTACTTAAGGTAGAGTAGACAGAAAAACTGTGGGGAAAAAAAAAATATCTAAACTAAGGAGCATTCTTAGACAGATGTTGGCCACAGTGAGAGAACGCTATAGGTAAAAAGGCATGAGAAAACCTGAAATTTCTTAGTTATGTTTTGATTCAGAGATTTTCATATGCAAATTCTGACATGAGTGAAAAAGCAACTTTGTGGTACTGTGTTTCAGGACTGTTTTCTCTAGCAAGCGTGGCTACACTGCCCACTTAAGGCCTTGTCTAGCACTTTTGCAATGTCCCACTGAAAGTAATGGGAATATTTTACACAGTAAAGGTTTGGAACAGTTGATCGTATACTTGATTGTTATTTAAGCCACTGGGTAAACGGCTATGAAAAAACACAGTGCAAACACAGTGCGAACCTCCAGTTCGAACAGCACTGTTTAGTATCTTACCTCCACTGATTCTAGTAATACACCCTGTGTTATATTCTCAGTTGTTTGCATTAAATGTTAAGTCTGGTTACAGATCTCTAGTTTTTCTTTGGCCATACAGCTGTGTGGACTTACTGGTGCTCGTGTTTGTACGGCAAGGTAAAGGCCTGACCACCCGTCACGGCCTACAGAGGGCCGCGCCCGCCATCCCTGCGCCCAGAACCGACAGCCGCCCTCCGTCGCTCGTTAGGCGGGGCCTACTTACGCCGCGCCGCTGAGCTGGACGTTTGACCGCGGGTCCGGGACCCGCCGTGATTCCAGCAGGGCCTTGTCAGCTCTCGCTGAGGGGGCGCGAGGCGGGCGGCGCGCGCCGGTCGCGGGGTGTGAGGCCCGGGCACATGGCGCACCGCCCCGCCCCCGCGCGGCCCCGCCCCGCGGCTGCCGGAAAAGCAGGCGCCGCTGTGGGGCTGACCCGCGCGCTACCCGACAGGCAGCGCGCGGGGCGCCGCGCGGCCACCCCCGCCCGCCCTCTTTTCCTCCCTCCTTCCCTCCCCCGGCGGCGGCTGAGGTGGGGCGTCGCGGGCCGGCGGTGTAAGGCGGCTCCGCCAGCGCCGCTGCCGCCCATCCCCCCTGCCCGCCCCGCAGGAAGCCAGCGCGCCGGCCTGTCGCGGCCTCTCTGGACGCGCAGCACGGTAAGCCAGCCCGCTCCTGCTTCTCCGCCCTCCTTGGTGGGGCGGCCTGCCGCCTCCCCGGGCGGAGGGAGCCGCTGCTCCGCGGCGGGCGGGCCGCGGGGGGATTGTCGCCTGTGAGACCGACGCCATCTTAGGTCGGAGCGCGGCCTCGTAGTCCCCCCCTCTCAGCTGTGGAGCGGGGACCCCGCTCTGGGAGGGCTTCGGGGGGCTGCCTGCGGGGCCCCGCTGGAAGCCGGCGGGGTGGAGCGGTCTGCCCGCAGGGGCGTCCTAGGCAGGTCTTTCTCTACCCTGCTCCCGCCGGCCAGGTCTCGCTCTGCCCAGCTCCGGCCGACCAGGGGCCCCCGGTTGGTGGGCAGCGGATGCCAGGCCCGCCGCCGGGCCTCGTCCCTTCCCGCCGCGGCTGTGGTATGCTAGCCTCGTCCGAGTTCGAGCCTGCAACCTCCGTCGAGTCCTTGCGGTCACTCGGCGCCGGGGAGGCGGGGCGGGCGGGCTGCGCTAGAGGCGGCGGCGGCGGGGTCGCTGCGGGCGGAGCGGCAGCTCCTCGGCTGCCCGCGGGGACTGGGCTTCCTCCTGCGGCCTCGCACCCATCGCACCTCGGGGGTGTGAACTTCTGACTGGCTTGCAAAGGCAATATTGCCCTTCCCTAGGTGGAGCTTACACCATTTCATTGCAGGGAGGGGAACGTTGGCTGTGTAGGTTGGCTTTTGAGGGAAGTTGGTTTCTCCTTGGGCTTTTGAACTTTTAGGTTCAGTTTCAGCTTGGTCATCGTTTCCTTGCTGCTGAAACAAATGCGGCCCTCAATAAAAATACGACTGCTCGCAGTTCTGATGAAGCTGTGGGTTGCACAATCTTCTACAACATGATGCAAAGTTACAAGCCTGTATGGGAAGCCATCTGAAAAATACAACATGGTGCTTTCTGCATAATCAGTGTTGTAAACAAATAACCTAACTTCCCTGTTCATTTGCAGTGCAGCTGTTAAACTGGAGGAAAAAAGTGTTTGAATAATTCACTGATAATACTGTTATGGAAAGATGACAAACAAGGCTCATCTGAGAACTTTGTGGTTGATGTAGATGTCCTCACTCTATAAGCTCACCACCAATTTCATACCAGTGGTTTGGTTTCAGTTATTTTAAGGCCATCCAAAGAAATATTGAGTATTGGAAGGCTCACCTGACCTTAGGAGTGGAACAGGTGAATGCCATCTAAAAAAATAAATGGGTTTTTAGTAACTCTAACTGCTATTGCAGCTGCATTTGCCATGATTTTCTGTGGTACTGATTTCTGTGCATCATTAAGGTGCGCTTCACATATTGCTTTCTGCTGGTTTCACTACAGCTGTTACACTCTTCTTATATTTACTAATGCTTGTGTCATTTTTGTTGCTTCTATATGAGTGCTTTTAAATCCTAGCAGTAAGAAGAACAGGTTGTAAATATAACTGGATTTTAATAGCTAGGTATCTTTAAACGTAATTGCCATAAGTGAAGATGTCCAAATTAGAGCTTTTAAAATACTTATTTTATCAGAAGCTTCTGGCTCTTTTGTGCAATTAGTTCATTTTTTTTCTTCTGTTTTGTATCAGGTTTTTAATTCCTTGCTTGTCTAGTAACTATAACAGTGTTTCAGAGACTTGTGTTTTTGCAGGTTGTTGATGATGTGTGCCTGCCTAATAAACTTTTATGAATAGCCTTAGTTTTTGCTGACGGTTGCCTTTTAAAGTGATATCCTGATATAGTCTAATGATATTTTTTAAAATGTTTTAAAGAACTTTTTCACAATTTTGACACTTTTTAGCCTACAACAGTGGTTTAAACCCTTCTTTTATTATGTACGTACAGCGCTTCATTGAAGTTTTGGACCTCTGAGATTCATGGACTACATTTAAGGAGATGTATATATGTTTATACATATTTTAAAATTAGGAAAATAAAATCTATTGTCAATAGGTTCACCTTTCTTATAGTGGCATCTGCATCCTCACTGGGAAATATTTGGGGAGAGTGGGGGAAGGGATCCGTGTTGGTTTTGGTTTTGACAGCAACCACTAGCAGGATTCCAGGAATATATTTTCTATGTTGATGTAGTTAAAGAAGCTGAAGACTTGCAAGCTAGTTGTACTGTAAAAATGGATGTAGATGTTTGCTTCAGCAGTGGGGACTGACAGAGCGGTTCCTGCACACCTGTAATAGAATCCATTCCCCCTTACTGCAACTTTGATAGCTGAGGCCACAGATTTTTTTGACCTCTCAGCTGTGCCAGTAAAATTGTTAGTGGGCCAGGTTATTTTTAACCTGCACTGGTTTATGTCACAGTCCCGTGAAAAGTTGTACAAGCACAACTGAGGGCGCAGTGCAGGAGCAGGGTGGGAACTCATTAGGCTGTCTTTGTCGCCAGTAAAAAAAGTTGGTGAAAGCTTGTCTTCAAATCATAGCATTGAAATAAAAAAATTAGAGTAAAAGGTCAGAAATAATCTCAATACTTTTTTTAAAAGCTGCCATATATTTTGTCACCTTTTAAGAATACCTTGATATGTACATCCTGACTGGTGAAACGAAATATCCATAAGAGGTTCCAGCAGTTGGTGTAACTTTCTAAAAGTCCATGCCTGTTAGCAAATTACCATTAACTGTATAAAAAAAAAAAAAATGCTGTATATAGTATAGCTGAGGTTGTCATGTGTATGTTGTTAGAATTCTGCTAACATATAGTTTGCTTGTGCCTATTTTGTGGTTTTAATATAAATTACATGTGCTCTCATTTGCATTCTCTGAGCACATTTTATAATTGATTACCTTTTTTCCCCTGAGGTCGCATAAAGCTTTTTTTAATAAAAAGACCACCTCTCATGTTGTCAGTTCCGTGAAAAAAGTCTCTGAAAATAGTCTCTCACTGTGCCTTAAAGTCTAATAGACTTTGCATCTGTAACTAAAGAAAAGGCATCCTAAGGAATGTCCTGCACAGAGTCAGGCTTGATTCTCTTTCAAAGACTGGGCGCATGACCCCTCCTGTCTCTGTCAGGTGGAAACTGGCTTAATACTCTTCCTCCTTTCCTATGACAACAGTCTAGTTTACTGTCTTAATCTCTTCTTTCCTAGCACTATGTTTAACTCTAGCACCCTAAGCTGATGGATGAAAAAAGGAAGGAGTATAGCTTTGCTACTTTATAGTATCCTTAAGACTTAGCATGTAATACAACCAGCCCCATTCTCATGCGCTTTAGTGCAAGTAGAGGCACAATTCTGTTTGCTCCCCTGTGATAAGCTATTACAGACTAGTTATTGCTACAGTCCCATTGCCAAACCTAACAGTTTATTACTCCTATCGCGAAATTGTCTTACTAGGTATTAGACAGTTTCTCACTGTGTCTGTGCTGGAGTCGTCCCTTTCAAATGCTGTTGACAATGAGGGGTACTCTTAGTTTTGCATAATTATACTTCCAAAAATGAAACTTGACTCAATGTTTAATATATACATTGCTCTTCAAGTATTTTTGGAAAGTAGAAAAATCATGGCAAAGTTTACAGAAAAATGTCTTGGATAAACACCCTTTTCATCTTAGAAGGTAAATAATTTAGTTTAAAAAATTACCAGTTTACTACTGTGAATGTAGTCTTGACTTTGTCACCTTGTGTATAATGTTTTATATTCTTTAATGACATAATGATTAGTGTTTCAGTAAGTCAGTTGTGCCAGGTGTATTATATAGTAGTGTTTTCAGACTTCTTGCGAAACACTTAGATGGAATAGGAGTACTTTTTTTAAAAGATAGCTTTCACTGTAGTGCCAGAGGCTTCCTCTAATAGTTACTGGTGTATTATACAAAAGCAGTTTAAATTATGTGGAAGATATCTTTGGTCTTTTCTCATCTTCAATAGCAAAGATGAGAATTCAAGTAATTATCAGACAGGTGATGTGGTATCAATATTTGAAGATCTTCTATATCAGCTCAGGTTCAACCTGTGTAGAACATGGCGGGAGGTGGGAAGGAAGACCATTCTATGGGAATTAATGTCAAGTGCAGTAATCTTTACTGAACAGAGAAACATTTGTTTCATGTAAGTACTAAATGTTTCGGTGTGTGTGTGTTTTGTTTTTCACTGTCTAGTCTCAAGATGGCAGAATTATTTATGGAATGTGAAGAGGAGGAGCTAGAACCATGGCAAAAGAGAGTGAAAGAAGTGGAGGAGGATGATGATGATGATGAGCCAATCTTTGTTGGGGAAATCTCAGGCTCGAAGCCAGCTAGTACATGTAAGATAACATTTTCCATAATTTAAAACTGGTATTTCAGGGTGTAAATCTTTAAACTTACTTTGAAAATATAGAATTTTTAACAGTAAAACTTGAGAAATTTTACCTCTTGAAGTCATTCTGTAGGTTGCTGTCATATTGAAAATTGGAATTCTTAAGAAATTCTGTCCTAAAACCACAGTTACGCATAGGTCTGTCTGCCTCTAGCCTTAAATGTTTGAAGTCAAAACAAGGATATTTGAAGGTTTTAGCATTAACAATATGGTTAAAAATTCATTATATACAGTGTTGAAACCATGCATGCAATTGCTCTCAATACGGTTGATATTCAGCTAGATACTTGGAAGTGTCTCCCTACTAAAGGAATGTGCATGAATTTAAGTCTTCGTGTTACAGTCTCTTTTTTCTCCACGCCACATTTTGTGTGTTGGTAGACAGTCTGAATGGGTGGACATCATTCTGACAAAATAAGGTAACCATCTTAAGTGTCTATAATAAAAGAACAACCAGGAAAAGTGAATAATGTGAAAATAGTAGAATCATCTCTGTTAAGTAAGAGGTTTTCATTAATTTATTCATCCTCTGTAAAATAAAGAATTTTTTTTATCAAGCTCTGTAGTTTTCTCATAGTGCAGGGAGTGAGGTTAGCTGGTTGTGATGACAGCACATGTGTCAGGATTTCCATGTTTGTCCTGTCCTTGGGCTTTGGCAGGTAAGTAAAGGAGAATATTATTTTTGTTACTTAAATGGATTTTAGTAATGAAACTTTGATTTCTGTGTGTGGCCATCTTGTAGTCAATTAAGAGATTTGACCTAAAGTTTCTCTACCTATTGAATATACACGACTTTGCCTGGTGAGATTTACTGTTTTCAGTTTTTGCCTCATTTCCACTATGCTTGTATCCAAGATTGCCAGTTGTTTTCTGAAGGTGTGTAGTTTGCAGTGAAGAATCTCAAGACAACATGTTAAACGAGGCTCTCTGTCACACTCTGCTGCATGGACTTCACAGCTGTTACTAGCTGTTCAGTCATTTTAGTTAATAATTTCATCTTGCATCTGAACTCTATTTTACCTTGTTACTCACTGGAATAGTAATTCTAATGCTTCTTACACTAGCTTAAAGAAGTGGAAAATTATATTTTAAATACCGAAGCTGATGTTGAAGTTCTGTCACCTGAAGGTACTTCTTAAGGATTATTCTTTTAGAATATTTTAAAAATATTCTACATCCTCTTGAAAATTTGAAGAATATGTAAAAATTACTCTAAGAAGTTTTCTGCAGTTACAAACTTCTAGAAGGGCTGAAAAATACCCTTAGTGTTTTCTGAAAGGTCCAGAGACTTCGGGATTGCTGTTGGTCATTAGCAGTAGGTCATGGCATAGAACAACTATTAAAGCCCTAGGTGTACGTTGGAACAACAAATATGCCATGTTCCACAGCACAGTTGCAGTCTCGAGATTTTTTTTGTAGTCATAAAGGATAGAAATAGTTTGTGTGAAAATGATAATTCTGATATGTTTCAGCAACTTCAAGGACTTTGGTAAAAGATAGAGACTTAATGTATGCATCTTATTCTAGTGCTGTCCATGCTTGGTCCTGACACAAGTAAAATCATTTATGGTATAACTTTTTACTTTATCTTTTTTCCTTCCCTTTCCTCAACTTTTCCCTTTGTAATCTTCTACTTCACTATCAAAAACAGCTATGGAAGAATGACCTCATTTCTTCTCTGGCTTGTAAGTAGTACTACCTGGCAGTAGTCAGGCTTCAGTTTGTTATTGGTGACAGGCAAGACACAGTGAATTCAACTTTGCTTATCACTGTTGCTTAGTTGTTACCTGAGAAAATTCCTGTCTGATAAGATGAAAAATTAGATGACAAATGGAGACTCGCATGTAGTTATTAATTTTTTTGAAAGATATATTTTCTGCAATACATAGTGATTTTTTTTTTTTAACCTTTTCTTGACAATATAATCATCAGTTTTTATACAGACTGGTATGAAAAACTTGAAGGAAATAATTAAAATCACAACTTTGACCTCCTGGCACAGTGTCATGTATAATAAAGTGCCTCTTCTGATGTATTCAAGGATTAGTCTGGGATGAAAAGTAATTCACACATCATTCCTTTTACCATTTCCTGCAACTTCTCATTTTTCCTATGGTTACTGCTCACCTTTGTTGCTTCCCTTTTCATAATGATATAAATGTGTAATTGGTTGCTACTTTAAAATGTTGTTCTGCATGTTAACTTTGTTATACTTCAGTGCTGTTTTATCTAAATGGGACAAATAACACTTCCATGGGGGAGGGGAAAGGGCGTATCAGGTCCATGATGAATCAGTTCTCATGTAAACCTAGTTGACAATTTCAAATCACTGACTTCTTGAAATGTTATTTTTAAAAACAGTAATATCTGCCTTTGGTTTTGAGGATATGAATCGTATGTGCATCAGACGGTCTGAAGCTGACTATGCTTTGTGAGACATAACTTTCAGAATAGCTTTTTTTTCTGTAGGCAGATAAAGGCTTTAGTTTAATTTCGCTCTGGAATTTAAATATGAGGTATAGATGCATTAACAAACACAGAAAAGTATGTGTCGAGCTAAATCCTGAGTTAAGTTAATCCTAGCTCATAGTGTTGTATTGAAGTAAAAATAGTACTACTGTTACAGGATGAAATTTATTCATATCTTAAAAAATGCAAACCTGTTTGGATCTGTTGGTAGCAGCTGCTTCTTTATTAGTATGATCTAAATGCAGGTGATGGGTTGAAAGCTGTGATCTACTGAGTTCTACTGCCACTAGATTTATTTATTAAGCTGAGTAGTGTATACTAATGAGCCACTGCTGGTAGAAACAGCCATAAGGTTGTAAAACACAATGTGTAGATACTCTAAGATCTATTGTTTGAGATCCTGATATAATTTGATCCTGGTTTGAGCAGGTATCTTAAACCTTGGTGGTTAGATATTGGAGGATCAATCTACTTTCATATGCATATTTTCACATGTCAGAGCAAGAAACTTGACAGTAACACTAATGTAACTGAGAATCTGGTGGTAGAAAAATATTTTGAGTTGATGGATATTTCTGGAATGATTAGAAATCCCAGACTAAGACACAAAGTTGGGGAATATTGGTGGCATTAGTTAGGGAGTAAACATAAAATCTAAAAAAATTCCATGTGATTCCAATGAGGTAGAGCCCTGGTCATAGACTACCATGTAGGATACGTAAGTAAATCGGTCTTCTCGTGATACGATTCCAACACAACTTCTTTGATTGCTGTCTGTTGACTTCTCTTTTGCATTGGAAAATGGAGATCATGAAGTCCAAACACAAGTTTGTAAGTGCTGTATTTTCCTGTAAAACGCAAGCAAATTGTCTAGTTACTGGTTTAGAGAAAATGCTTTCTTTAGTGTAGAGCAGTTCTAGTATTTGGGGAACTTATTATGTATATCAGAAACAGAAATGAATAAATGCATTATAATCAGCAAAGCTAAATATTTGAGATGTTCTTTTTTTGTTTGCAGTCTTACTTGTTTGTTAATCTATCTCCAAGAAAATAAAAACTAAGATTCCTAAGTGAACTAGCTTAACATAAGAGAAAGGGAGTAGAAGAATGTGTCTTAATTTGTGCAGATGACACTTGTTTTGCCAGGTATTTATTTTAGAAATAATATCCTAGTTCATAAGTTTAATTGGCTTATTTAGTGGATATGAATGCTACTTTTAATTTTAAAATCAGTTAAGCTATTAATTTAACTGCAATTAAGATAAATGTAACTTTTGACAGATATATTGAACAGAGTCAACCTCAGCTCATCACGAAGGGGGATACAGAATGGTGCACCCAGTAGAGGTACTTTATTGTCCTAATATGGTAATTAAAAAAAACCAAAAAAATCCACAACACCTATGAAAACATCTGACTGAAAAATGATGTAAAGATAACTTTGCAATCCTTTGCAACAGGTACTGTTACTACATTCAAGCCTGACAGTCACCATTTTGCAACACCTGACTCCAGCCCCAGTGCCATGCCTGTTTCATCAGTCTATCAGTCTGTATCCAGACCTACAACTAGCTCTGTAGCAGTTCAGCCATTGTCTATACCAGTGAATGTTTCAGGAACTTCACAAACACTGCAGAGACCACTTGCTGGATCTTTGTCAACACAGCAGATGCCTGGGTCAAGTTCTGGAATATCACAGCCTGTTAACAGACCTGTAAGCGTTCCAGTGACAACACAGCCAGTATCAAGAAATATCACGGTTCCTGTAGTGGCTCAACCTGTATCCAGGCCAGTGACTACTGTAACAGCACAGCCTGTACTACTCAATCAGGTAAATGTTTATTCCCTTAAACTGTAAAATACTCAGGTGCTGTTACTTTTGAATGAATTAACAAGGAACATACTGATTCAATCTAGTGATTTGACGACCTGGATCAGATTAGCATTATGTAAGTTGTAAGGATTCTAGGATCATAAGCTTGCACTGGTGAATTGAAACATATATTTGAAAGATATGATTTGCAAGACTCAAAGATGATAGCTTCAGTAACAGTGGAGTTATGTTAAATTGAGGTCTTGGGCATAAGAGAGATAGGTACTGTTTAGGTTACTTTGTTTTATGTTGTGTGGAGAAATGATTGAAATTCTCATTGTCTAAATTTTGTGGATTTCTCTGCTGTGACGGATCCTCTAAATAGCTTCCACTTAGTGTTTAATTTTGTGGTTTTCCCACCTGATTTTTAGAGTGCCTATCTTGGGATTTTTTGCTGCTTAAGAGAATGCTGTAGTGGTAGCTCCTTAGGTGTTTTTGCTTTTTGGTTCACATGGCAGTTGTAGTAAAACAGTAGTATGGTAAGGAGGACTTAAGCAACCAAAAGTTGCAGGGTCGGTAGATGAAACAATTCAGAAACATACTTGTTTTGCTTGACAAGCCCAAGGGTATTACGCACATAGATCATGTATCATAGATCTTCCTGGATTGCAACAGAACCTCAGAATGACAAATTTAAGGACTCAAGTTAGATGTTCTTTTTATTGTCTTAGTCACTGGATGTTTGTGAGAGGAAGAATGAAGATTAGTATTTCATATTTGTGTGAGGTAAACTATGATGTGGTACCTTTATTGAAAATAATTGAAGCTGAAACTGTTTAGACAATGTGCTTATAATATTAGCTACTACTGTCCGGTTAAAATGAAGCCTGACAGTAGGCACTATCTCCACTGACCTTGCAAATATACATATCTGTATGTGCGGTTGTCCCAGCTGTTGGTCTTTTGGTATAAAGAAAAATCATGCAGCCTAACATATGCTGCATTTGCTGAACAAGGCAATCAGTTTGAATGACCACAATTATAGGAAGTCCATTAAAACATAAGAATTAGATGTCCTTAAGACTCGTGGCTAAGTCATTGCTGATGGGTTGTTGTATTTTAAGAAAAACAATGCAATGTAATCATTGCCAATCAACTGAATTTCTGGCAGATTCATTAAGAAAGAATTCATGCTTTCCAATTTTCAGTCTGCAGTTGATTGATAGTTTGCAGAGAGAAAATTGTGGATGTGGCTAATGAAGCAGTTAGCTGAATCAATATGTCACTGTGTGTAAGAAGGCCTAAAGAATAGTATAACCAAAAGTCCAGATATCAGAAGGATATTTAGGTTGCCTCTGGAGTCCTCTTAAATCTATAAAGCAGGACAGATTAAGACAGAAAGGCCTGCTACTTCACATGATATATACACATATTTCAAATCTGAACTTTATTTTTATAAATGTTTACTTACTGCATAGTTTGCATTATTAAATCCTTCGGAGGAGTGCTGGGATGTCTTGCAGAATCTTTACTGCAAAAGAAAGCACCCTCCTTTAAGTCCCTCACACACACGTGCTCGTGTTTTTGTTCTAATAGATAAAGCTGCTAGCAGCCTGTGCATTGTTTTTATTAGAAACACTTAGAGTAAACAGACCTAGAAAAGCTGAACTTCTCCAAAACATATGTGTAAGCTGGACATAACTCATCAAGAGTGATTTTCTTTAAAGACACTATGCACGCAGCACTTGTTGTTGTGAGAGTTCCTTCTCATTCATTGAGGTTTACTTTCAACAGGAATATCACAGATGAGACTTTAGTTAAGTTTTAGAGTATTACTTTGCCAAAATCTGCAGGTGGTTGTTCTTTCCTGGCACAGTAGAAACACCTATTTGAAGAAGTTGCAGCCTGAAATACAACTTACAAGGTACATGGCATGGAAAAGGATCTCTAACCATCTGTTAGTTCTGTCTCTTCCAAGTTAAACTGACATGCTTTAGGAAGTAATGCATCCTTTTCTGGGATACGCAGTGCTTACGTATTCTGTGGTCTCTTAAAACTTCTACTGTTGAAATTATTGTATGTTTTATGGTTTCTTTGCAGTGTTGACGTTTTGATCATGGCTTTCGTGAGCTCGTAATTTTTTAAGTTATCCTCACTTTAACATCCTATTCTCTGGATATTAAGAAATTACTGAGTATCTTTAGGAAGATTTTTCTGTTGTTTTTCTTTGCTTACAACATGTTGAAAGTGAATTTTCAATCTCTTCAACTTCTCTAGATTCAGAATGGTATTTCCAATTTCAGCCTTATCTAGAATAATTTGTTTTATTGTTTTTGTACTGTTCCTGCCACTTGATTATGTTATACTTCTTATGGGGAAAGAAGCTTGCTTGGTGTGCCTTTTTTTTTTAGGGAGGTACTGTAGTTCAGCTTCTTGGGTGAAGTTCTGTGATATATTTTTAGTATCACTCCTGCCACATTATGTCATTTGCTGTTCTTAGTGTTATATGTATACTACTTGCGTTTTGGTTCATGTCCTTGGTTTGAATTGTCTTAATTCAAGAGCCCCTTAGGTTTTTGGATATTTTTTTTACCTCCCCTTTACCTAGTCTTTATTTTACTTGGGGCTACTGTTTTTTTGTTGATGCCTTGGGCTTTCTGTGACATTTTCCTTCACATATTTCCTGTTTCTTCCTAACTTGATTATTCTTAAGTGGCAAGGGCTTTAAAGTTTTTCTGGAAAATGCTTGATTGGATCTTCAACTTCCAGATGGTGAAACTTACCTTTGAAATTAAAATATTGTGATGTGAAGATCACTCTGAGTTATGACCAGGACCCCTTTTTAGCTGAACATCCATCAGAGTCTCTTTACATTCTTAATATGGTACACTATTTTTTAATCTCAGGATGTCAAAGTTTTTTCTGTGGGAACTGATTACTTTTGATCGTCAACTGAGTTGAAACATGTTTCTTCAATTTCATAACATGCAGGTCTATAATTTACCTTTTCTCAATGTTTGATATTTCAGTTTTATTACTGAAATACCTCTTTCCAATCACAGGCTTGATTCACTGACCTCATGTAAAATTCTAGGTTTTTTGTTCTTGTCAATGGAGTTTCTGAAGTTCTGAGTTGAATTTGACTTCAGTGATACTGTTTACAGCTATTCTAATTTAGTTAGAGCTACTGCTGTTGCATGAGATAGCATAGGGCTATCCTCTTCTTTAAGAAATGCGTTGTTAGCAATGAAGATTTTCTATAATTCAGTGCTCAGAATGCTCTCAAATAAGCCCCAGCCAATTATGTCCATATCTTTCCCTTACTTAATAGGCACTTTCCTCAGTCTGAGTGTGATTCAGGTTCCAGTTGTTCCTAGTTAATTTTGGGAGAGCCAAGATCTGATACCATGCGTTGTAATTTCTCTGTGTAGATTTGGTTACAAATTATCATGTTGGTTTCCACAGTTAGGAAATCTAGGATGCACAGTATGCACTAGAATCCATACTATTTTAAATAGTCTCTTGGGAAACTGAGAGTGGTGGTGGATTATTTTTCTTCACTTGAGCCTTAGGAACTTAATTGGTAAAGGTGTTGGGTTATACCTTTCTTCAAGTGAGAGCCCCTGTATGTGTTTATGTTAGTTTGATTTTTTTTTTTTTTTCATTGATGTGGTAAAACTGTTTTGTTTTTTGTCTTTAAAATGTTTTTGCTTTCTAAAGCATGGGAAGGTATTGTTTTTTTTTTTTTTCTGTATGTAAAATAACAAAGCCAAATTGCATTACAAGAATAATTGTAAACAGAAAATTACATTCAGAATATTATGAGACTTTGTATTTCCAGGATATCTGTTTTCATTCTTTTGCTTGCCAGATATGTTTAGTATATACTAGGGAGATGCACACATGCCATCAAAATACCCAGGCTATTATTTTCAAGAAAACTAAAATGTTAGCAGCATGTACAAACAATCAAACCACAGAGTAGTAAGAGGAACATACTTTGTGTGTAGCTACTGTATTGGTCATATTTCAAATGTAGGTGGTGTGCATAGCCCTCCACACGAAAAGCCTACCACTGGTTTACCATCTGAGCATTAGTTGTGCTCGGAGTGGGGTTTGCAGGCTAAACTGCATTGCCTGTAATTTCACTGGCTAGTCTCAAACTGTTGTGGCTACAGTAACACCTGCTCTGTTGTGACTGCAGCTCATGTAGCTATTACTCGTACACAAATAGAGCAGAGAAATTAAGTAACTGTTTCCACAGCTACTCTTGAACTTTTATGTTTAGCTTGCTTAGATTGGAGTGGGTCACTCACCAGAAGAAAGAATGGCTCATCATTAAGGTCTTGCAGGGTCTTAAATTGAGGTGTATGGCAAAAGGGCAGAATGGGGAGAAGCGTCTTCCTTTGTTCAAATCTTTTCTGGTACTTAGGAATCCTAAAATAGATTATCATACCTGTATATGTACTTGTTTACTTCTTTAGACTCCTTTCCATCAAGTTTAGTTAACATGGTGGTATTTTAAAATGTGGTTACTTCCACAGGGATGTTTTCAAATAAGTAGCATAGTTGTGAATAGGAAGCATTTTGTGAGACTGATCTTTGCAGCAAACAGTATTTTGGCCTTTGTCTCACGGATACACAGACTTTGTCATCAGTGTATGTGTATTGGGTGATTTATGGTTTGTTTTTTTTTTTTATAGAAAAATTGAGCTACTTCTGTCAAGTTTTTTTTTTTCTTCACAGTACAGCTTGATAAAATGTAACCAAATTAATTATTTCAGAGTACAAAGATCAAGTGCCCGTATTTTGCCCTTAATTTCAAAAGTAAACCTAGCTCTGTTACAAGGTTTTTCTTAACTCCTTATTGCTATTGCTGAAAATATTTCATGTTTTAAATGATTTGCCTAATAAGATGTGAGCAGTATTGATGAATCCTGGAAAGTGTATTTCTCCTACCTTGCCTTTACCTCTTGAGTGATCAGTGAAGGTGTTTAGTTCTAAGAGTTTTTCAGTGTTGCAGTCAATAAATGTGGGCAATTTAATTTTTTTATGTTAAATGTACTAAAGGGCAGACCTTTTAAGCTGAAGGTTAAGAGGATACCTGTACTTGGAGGTGCTCAAAACTTAATGTAACAAGGTGCTGAGAAACATGAACCAGCTTGTAGGTTAGCTATGCTCTGAAAAGAGGGTTTGATTATATTATTTCTAGATGTTCTTATGCAATTACTCTATGTAAAAGAAAAAAAAATGCTTAGTGGTATCATGAATGAGTGCCATTCCCAGTCAACATGCTATAGATACACTTTCACTTTCATTAAAGCTTCACCACTTAGTAGAATTTGACTGATTCAATATCATCTTGCTTTGAGAAGCTTGCTTGCTACAAGTTTTTGCTACTTTTGAGTATTTTCTGGTCTTTTAAAATGCAGCTAGCTGTCATGCAAGAGTAACAGGCAAATGCCTGAGTTTGGGTTGAAGGAAGAAAGTATTAGTGTTTTTTTAAAAACAATTAGAGTATAATTTGAAACATAGACTTTGAACAAAAGCAGTTAAAATTAGCAATTCAAACAGGTTTTGTAATGTTTCCTAAAATGGAATTTCCCAGGTCTTAGAGTTGTTTTTACTATTCTGATACACAGCTATGAACAAATTAACCACCACTGATGAGAGTTGCAAACTTATTAAAATGTCAAAAGAAACTATTTTTGGGAGGTTGTAATTAACTTGATTTACAGCTGAGTACTTATGAGTACTTTTAAGCAATCGTATGTTTTTAAAATAAACCCTTTGAAGCCTGCAAGTAAAAAAATGTTAAACCTCAAATTTCTTTTCCCTCTTGAAAATATCTTATTAGGATTATATTATGGATTCTCCACCAGCTGCACCAGATAATACATCTGGTATACTGTTTGGTGTGAGACAGAACTCGGGAGTTCTACAGTACCAGACTGGGCCAGCAGTGAATGTAACAGGTGGGTATAACTGTAGTAGTTGCTAAGAGAAAGAAACAGCCTAATGTCATTTAACTGTAGTGCAGATGTTTGGGTTATAATTTTAAATAGGATTTCTAGAGCATAGTATAGCTACTTTTTTCTTCCCCCTGTACATAACACTGTATAATGTTTAATTAAATAAATCTTGGAGCCTTGTGTTGTCAGACTTTGCTTTTCAGCATGTTAGACAGACTAATTTCAACTGATGTCGTCTTATAATACTCATTTAGATGGAAAAAAGTACTGCCAGATTCAGTGTAATTTTTTTGACAGATAAAGGCTCGTTTTTGATATATCCAGTACTCTTTGACTAGCATGAATAGGAATGACTGTCAGCAAGAGAAGGGCTGTAAACAGTACCAGAAGAAATTTCTGAGTCTGCTGAGTAGACTTCCTGTGATGATGATCTTGGTTTCCTGACTGCTATATATATAGGAGTTGGAGTAGATTGAATCAAAAAAGATCCTGTCTGAAAAGGAGGGGAAGACAAAGAGTATGCAGTTTGACAACCAAAATATTTTTTTCACCTAGCTAAATATTGTTTCATCAGAAACTATTTAACCTACTTAAAAACAAACAAAAAAGCACCTTTTTTATGTCACAGTAGATAAAGTAGGTTTGAAGTATGCAGTGTATTCAGTCTTAAACAGGCTATAACTTGGGGCTTCCCTCCTCTTTTGTGGAGGATTGTACTTCTGTAATAACTGACCAGAATCTTGTCATTCAGTCTACAAGTAATAGATGACAGTCACTTCTGATTCTTCCATGAGGTAACAGGTTATGCTAATGAATGACCTAACTGGTCATATTAACAAGTTATGTAGAACAGAGTGATTGCTAGTTTATTCTGCTTGATGTGATGATTTTGCATCTCTAGTTTAGACATTCACTCCGGATACTTATCAATTAAGGTTTGGTAGTGTATTTCCTTGCATGTGTCTATTATGTGATCTCATTCTTGTCTTACTGGATTAAATAGCTGTTTATAAAGCAAGCAAAGGTTTTATTTCTTGCAAATGGTTCAACATTCCAGCCCTTGTTCTCCAAATAACAGGTATTAAAGTTTAATTGTTTGTGGTTTTGGGGTTTGGCTGTTTTGGTTTGGGTTTTGGTTGGTTGGTTGTTTTTTGGTTTGTTTTTTTGTTTGGTTGTTTTTTTTTTTTTTTTAATTTAGGAGAACCCCTTCCATATCTAAGAATTACTTGTAATAGTCTCTTATTGAGGGGAAAAATACCATCAAGCACTGTAAAAGCATCAAGTATTGTAATTCAAAGCATCTTAAATATACCATACTTAGTCTTATTTCTCTAAGATGGCAATATGTTTTAGAAATGTAAAAAAAAAAAAAAATGTGGGTTGAAACATGAATATCTTTGACACAGGAGGTAAATTTAAGATACATTTCACTTGACCATAAGGAAATATCAGTGTATTATGTGGTTTGGCTTGCATGGTGAGGTCACATAATGCAGTTTACATCCATGTTAGTATGTGCCAATGCCTACTTGCCTGTGTTGGTGCTATACTTCCTCTAACTAATGTGCAGCACTGTGGGCACAAGACACTCTGGAATATGGTATTTAAAAGCAGAATCCTCTTGGGAACTGGCCTGTGATACTCTGCAGGACAATTTAACTTCTGTACATGGATCATTAAAGACATTTTTTAGCTCAGTATAGCATAAGTATTTCTGAAGTCTAAGCGGGGAAATGGCAAGCTGCTAATGGTTACTAACCAACCATTTTGTTAGGTTGCTAAATAGATGATGGTGTTCAATTAAACAGCATTGGTAACATACATGTAGGTTGGATGGGCACTGTGGGGGTGTATGTAAAACTGTAGCTTGCTTTTGATTTTGAGATCATTCTTCCACAAACTTCAGTCACTTTGAGAAAGCAGAAAATGCCATAACCAATAGAAGAACTGTTCTGTGGTATTTAGGGGTTGACTGGACTGTATACTTGCATTCATAGCACTAGATAAATGGGAGATGTTGGTGAGGGACAATGCACTAAAGGCCTGAAACAATTTGGCTTTCATGTCCCTATTCTGTTAATTGATCTAACTCTTACCACAGTACATTTAATGCTTTTACTCTAGGTTAGCGTTTCTAATGTGTTTTGCCATCATTTGTAAAATCAAGCCCAGCCAGCATAGGTGCACGTAAGTGTTAAGGATTTTACAGTAGTGCTGTAATTTGTATTTAGAAACCTGTCAGCAAGGTGATACTGCATCCAGTATAATTTGCTCCTTCTTGCAATCATTTTAGATATTGTACATAATAATACTGTCTTTGTGGGTATAACCAGCTGTTTTGTAATAGCTACAAAACATTTACAAAAGTATTCACTAGTAGAATGAAGTGAAGGTAATAGACTCCTGAGCGGCCTGAAAACCAAACAAGAATTGTTTGGCTGCTTCTTTTTGCTGCTCTCCTCAGTACTTGAAGTCCCTGACAGTTTCAGCTGTGTGGTGTGTTGTGTAGAGGATTGGACAAACTAGTCTGAAACATGACTGATCCAAGGAATTATTGTATCCATGCACCAGCTGAGAGAAGCACTAATTTTTTTAAATTAACAAACAGAATTCAAATGCTAAACTATATGTATTCTAGTATTGTTGTAATTCTTCTGAAAGAGGGAATTTATTAGATAAGTTTTATAAACTGAGTTAAGAATGCCCATCTTCATAAATATATAAAATAGACTTCATTTTTTGTCACAGGCGTGTCAGGCTTTTTTTAATTGAAAGTATGACCAATTTTGTTAACATGTGAAAATAGTAGTGTTTTTCCAAATCAGGTTTTCTATTTTAAAATAAAATACCTTACTGAAGGTTCTTGTAAAAGATGTTTTGTCTTTGTCTTGGCCCTTATATTAAATTAAGTGTAGTTGTGTAATATAGCAGCAGTTCCTGCTGTAGGTTGATGGCCTGATGCTCAAATAGACTCAGTGATGCAGAAGAATGCTGAAGTCATATGAGCTCTGTGGAAGCCTTTGTGGATCAACACACGTATGTCAATGTAACCAGCTCGCATACCTAACAATGCAACTATAAGTAAATTAAAAAACCCTAGAAAGTGGTAGTATCTGATGAATAACCTGTGTTCTTTGTGAATGTTTTAATTACTTTAGCCAAACAAAGAGTAGAAACACTTTTCAGCTTAATATGTTTATGTCAGAAAGAATGAAAGGTGTGCTACAAAGGAGAATATTAGGGTGATTAAACATGTGTATAGCAGGTGAATTATATTTTCCTGTATATGAGTAGTAGTATAAATTCTCCAGGGTGCTCAAATATTAGATTCCCTGCTGGGAGGCTTTGCCTGTGTGGGTTGAATGGGGAGACTATCCAGACTGTTGGTTAGGTGTACATAGTTACCACTGAGTAAATAAAACTTGAGGGTGGGAGAACTTACTTTGTTGCTTCTCGGAAGAAGTTTGAATTATTTTATATGACACAAATTACATTTGCTTGGTGAGAAGACTTTTAAATATACCAATTCGGTTTCTTATTGTACCCAGAGAAATCACTGGGGCAGCTACACCATTGGTAGGGGAATATACAAGGATGACCTTGGTTTCAGATAATTGTGTCTGGAACTAAAGTCTGGTTCCTGTCATAGTTTGATAATCTTAAGGCTGTTTGCAGTCTGTGATTCTGAGAGGTTTACAAGGCCTTTACTGGCACTTCAAACTTCTTAACATGAAGCTGTGCTCTTTCGGGTCTACTTGAGGACTGATCTTTGTATTGAGATTACATTGTCGGGGCAATCTTAAAGTAACAGAGACATGGGTTTCAGGACAAGATGGAGCCAAGTATTGATGGGCATGTTAATTGGGCACTGAACCTATGAATTTCCAACTTAGTTTTTAGTGGGTTTCCTTTTTTAGAAGAAATACTGCAAACAGTAAGTGAATCAACTGTTCTTTCAGAATAGAGCAAATAGGTGTGCTGTGATTGTTCATTAGAAGTTACAACACTGTTTTCATTTTGTATCAAACAGAAGTCTCAAATGTTTTATAGAGTTAAATAACAAACTAAACCAGCATTGACATGGGACCAGAAAAAAAGGAGATACGTTTTTCATCAGAAGGGCAGAGCTTGTTCCAGATAGTAGGCATTGCAGAAACCAGCTGCTTATCTTAACTTTATTTCTGTGAATTCACCTTGTCTCAGATTAGTGTGGGTCAAGATGTGAAAAATAGGCCAAATGAGTTCAGGTGGTCATAGTATGATTTACTGGGTTTCAGGGATGGGCCTGTATCTCTTTGCATTTACCCTTTCCTTCTCCACTGATCTTAGAATATTCAGTCTGAGTTGGATAATGGTTTTTTAATGTATGTATGGCTTATTGTTTTAGGGAGATCTTAACTGCTTTACATAGGCTTGTCCATCCATAGGCATCGCTAATGTGTTCGTAATATACTATAAAAAACAAAACAAAACAAAAACAAAAAAAAAAAAAAAAACAAAAAAAAAAACACAAAAAAAAAAAAACCAAAACAAAAAAAAACAAAAACAAAAAAAACACACAAAAACCCCTGAGGTTCTTTAATTTAAACCACTGTAGGTCTGAATGAGAGTATGTTTGTATCTAAGCGTCCTGCTACTTCTGAAGGCAACAGTGTAACTCCAAAAAAGGCCAAGCCTAATGAGGTTGGTGCTGGAAGCAGTTCAGATGTTTCACCTACAGTTAACTCTCCAACAGTAACACCATCACAAAATGTATCTTCAAAAGGTAGGGTAGATCAAATGGTCTAGCTGTCAATCCATGCATCTGTTTCATGGAAAAAGCTAGCACTCTTACAATGTTTTAATTGATCGTTGTTATTATTAATGCTTAAGGCAATGTAAATAAGTAACTGTTCTTATGCCTTAAAATAAGAAAAACCTTTCTATGCAAGGATATACATACCTTTACAAATTAATGCACCCAAGGTTATTCAAAATGTATACCTTTTATTCTTTAGGAGGTATGTTTGATTTCTGTAAAGATATGATTAGTTGTTTAGTGGCTGTGAAGACAGGTGATCAAAATAAATGCCCCATACCTCATAGCCTTAGATCAGATTTTCTATGTCAAAGAGCTGACTAGAGAGTTGAACCTTTAAAAAACAATCAATGGGAAAATCAGATTGTAAGTATTTTGTGACTGCTGAATTGGTCAACTAATTCCGATCAGATAAAATGAAGGAGAAAAGCCCCACATTGTAGGAATGTCAGGCAAGGCAGCAGGGATGAAGATAGTGGAATCTCTGTCCTTGGGGATACTCAGAAGTTGACTGGACATGTCTCTGAGCATCCTGATAAGGTTGGACTTGCATTGAGCATGAGGTTTGACAATAACACTTCCACAGGTCTAGCCTAAATTATTCCGTGAATCTGTAATTCAGATAACTATTGCAAAGTGTGTTTTTCACTTCCTCCCTTTACTTTGCAGCAGTGTTTTTGACACAGTTTAAAATAGTAGTAGGAAGGAAGGAGGGGGATTTAAGTTTCAAAGACAGGATGTTCTTTGAAAGATGTTTCCCTCCCTACAGGAGAGGTAGTCTACTTGTTTTGGCATGTTAATAAATAGGTGCGTTTTCCTCCTGAGCCAAAAGGTGCTTTCCAGCTGATTGTAATAGACAAAGATTTATTTATTCTTGAGTTTGAGATACTTCTAAGCACTTACTCTCTCCTATAATGTTAAAATGAGGAGTGGCCTATGATGTGATTCTGTTGTTTGGAATCACTTAATATTTGGGTTTTTTACAAGTCTTGTTTGCAGCTGGTTTGCTATCAGATTCTTTTCCAGCAACCAGAAGGAAGTGGCTATAACATGGAACATTGCAGCAAAAAAATTTCCTCCACCCTGTGTTGGGTAAGACAGATACTGTGCTGCAGCTTATAATATACAAAAGATAACTGGAGGATCTTACTAAGTGCAGTAACATAGAAGTAGATTACAGTCACTGAGAATGTTATTGTTATGAATTTGTCTCTGAGCCATCCCACGCTAACATAGCAATTTCTGATCTGTCACAGAATCCAGGACTCAAGCCCCACAGAACACAAGATCTTCCTGCAGAACCTGTTTTCTTCCAATTTAGCTTGCACTTAGCTGTGACGTTAAAATACTGTACAAATCATAATAGTGAAAACTTGCAGCACTGTTTTGTAGTATATCTCTTGCATGGCCATCCACTCATGTGAAGGACTTTCTGCTTAATTACAATTCTTAGCAATACTGTTATTTTCAAGGATAAATACTGTTTGATCCATGTCTACCTCATGGACTATGCAAGATTATTTTTGTGAAAAAACACGTAATGCTGTTGCACAGTCATCTCTTAACTCAGACATTCATTCCCTTGTTATAAGGTGGATATATTTGTGTGTTTGTTTTAATTGCATCTTCTCATAGCCCTGGCAGGGTACAGTTGATTCTACAGCTGAGATACTCAGATGTTACTTGAAACCCTTCCTGTGTTTAACCTCTTCTTCTAAACTACTTCCTCAGTATGGAGTCCTCCAGATCTGTGAACAACTTGAGAATGCAAGAGAACTTTATCTGGAAAAGTAACTATTGCTCTGATGGTTTTTGACAGTTTGGAGAAAACTGGAAGCCTGGGTTTATTCATTAAAATTTAAGCTGATGTAAAGCTTTTTTTGTTTTGCTCAAAAGGTGTTATTTCATGCTGATAAGAGAAATACTACTTCATTTCATTACTGGGAAGTAATTATTTAGAGGATTTATTCTCTAGGTTCTTCAAAGACACCTTTGCTGAACAGGAATGATGCATCTGAATAGGCATAGGTTCTAACAGCAGTCCAGAGAGAAATATTCTCATTGTTGAGAACCAGGTGGTGAAATTCCTTCCCCAAACCAGTTATCTGAACCGTATTGTGATGATCATCAGGTCATGGCATAAAACAAGTTTTATGTGTTCGTAAAACAAAACCATCAAAAATCTGGCCTATCCCGGGGGTGGTAGGGTAGTGGTGCACAGAATTAATGTTTTGTCTCTATCATGCTACCTTTACCCCCTCCCATTTTTTCCTTATTAGCTGCTGAGATTTTACAAAAGTTGTTTATAGGTCTATATCAAAAAGACCAAACTCAGTTTGGAAAAAAGGAAGGGTAGTTAAAAGATGGTTGTAAAACCTTACTGATGGTTACTACAGCTACACCAGTTGTAATAGTTTTCTTTTGAAATAGAATATTTTGCTGGAATAATAAATAATAATAAATCTAGTGTTATGAATCTTAACATATTTTAAATTTTACAGGTGCAAATGTTGCATCAAGCACCATTAAAAATGGAGGACCTTTTCCACGAGCTTGTCCAAAGTGCAATATTCATTTCAATCTTATGGATCCTCTAAAAAATCATATGAAGGTAAGATATTTGGGGGCTGGTAAACATTATAACAAATTTCAGTAGAATTGTGTTTCATTATGAAAGGGTGCCATGTTTTGATATGAAGAGTGTCTGGCTTGTGGCTATGATCAACCAGAGCCCAAAATGCTCCATGTCTTACAGTAATGGAGATGAAGAATGGAGTAGGGAAACTATATCTTTCTATCTTTCTACTTTTTGCCTTATTTTCCAATGAGTTGAGGCATATTTGCTGTGTCTGTATGATTTCTGTCCACCACAGCTGTGACTTCCTGAACAGATTCAGGTGAATTTGATGAAGGTAAATGCCTGTGATAATAGGCAGCTGGTTGACCCACAGCTGTGTTATATTGCTACTGAGACAAGGATGACAGTGTAAACTTAGCTTTTTATCTTGATATATCACTTGGTATCTAAAAAGTTAAGCTGAGTGGGGGAAGTTAATTTGTAGTTCATACTTAAACACTGTGAGAAACAAAGCTTTCAGAAATGAAGCATCACATAGTTTTTATGAAACTATTTATTACTGTTTCTGGAAATATCATTTCCTGGAAAATATTTATTAATATTTGGCAAAGATTCATGTATTTCTTAGGCATATGTATTCCAATTCAGGGGGCAGAGAAATGGCTTTGAATTCTGTATACAATATGAGTAACCCATGCAAAAAGGAGTATGAACCACAGTGTAATAGAAATCTGTGAGGCCCCATTACAGTTAATGCAGATAGTTGTGATTTACTGCGCTTTATGATACCCTAAATGGTAGCTACTGTCCTTTTGAGCTTCAGAACACAATTAAGAAACATAGGTGGTAGTGGAAAAAGTAAATCAAGCATTGTATTTTTCTCTAATCATTATCTATAGAGAATAGCTTTTGTGCTGAGTACATCAACCAAATGAAAGAACCATTGAAGTGGGTTTACTTAGTAGTATTTAATGAATTTTTTAGTTAAAATAGCAAGTAGCCATGCATGGTAAGAACCATTATTCAGCAGGAGAAAGATCTGTCCTCTGAAATGAGAATGTTTCATTCTCATTTTGTTCACTGTTGGAAACGTCATAGTACCTTCTGTATGAAACTTCATATTTAAGCATTAAGTTTCACAGTATAGCTATTGGGTTAAGCATTCATTATGTACACTTGGACATAAGGAAGCTTGAACAATGTGTGTTGTATGGCTTAGAATTTCTGGATTTTTCAGTAATGCTGGAAAGAACTTTTTCAAGTTTCAACATATGTCCTCCCCAAAGAAATAAAAGATAAAACTTTCCATTAAGTTGTCGGTCAACTTCTGCTTGTCAGCAAAATACATAAAAGCTGCTTTTCTTTCTCATTATTAAATGAAGTAGACATTTTTGTAATGAGTAAGACAACACTGGTATTCTGATTTCTAGCATAAATTAATCTCACATGAACCTGTGAGAATAATCCCTTTTCAGTTTTTATCATATGTAGTGTTTTATTACCTAAACCCTACCTAAAGATCGATTACAGTTCAAAATCTGTATGTGAATATGAATAATGTTGGTGTGCTGGAGAATGGAACTTTGCTCCGGTTTTTAAGATGCTGCTGTCATTGATGCAGTTTGGTAAGAGACTGATACTTTTGTCTCTGTCTCCTCTCTTCCCCTTTTCCATCTAGTATTGTTGTCCAGATATGGTAAATAACTTTTTCCTGGGAATGGCCAAAACAGAATGTTCGAGCACAACAAGCAAGACTGCTGAATCTGAGAAAGGAAAATTGATTATGTTAGTTAATGACTTCTATTATGGGAAACATGAAGGTGACACCCAGCAGGTACAACAGGAGCAGAAGACTCATACGACATTTAAGTGCTTCAGTTGTCTGAAAGTTCTTAAAAATAACATAAGGTATTTGAACTCACTTCCTTAATTGTTCATTAATCACAGCCTATAGCACCTAGTCTCATGCATTAAAAACTTGTCTCTCTGGAATATTTTTTTTTTCTTTTTGAAAACTGGTAATATTGGGTGACTGACCAGAAATTGAAATAATTTTTACTGTGCATGTATGGCCATAACTTAATCTGTCTACAGATTAGAGTACGAATTTTAATGGTGTCTAACATAAACAGTAGAGTTTTAATGAGAGCAGTTGTAGGACTCGGGGTTAGAAAGGGCAACACAAAGTATTTTACAATTTGCCATCTGGATTGATGGTGATATCAGTAGATGTGAGTGTTAATTCCCTTTAGGGATGCACAATGACTAATAGTTGGTGGTTTACTTATGTAACATCTGTTATTTTGATAGAATAATTTTCCTTCCAAATGCTGCAAAAAACTTCAGTAAGCTGTTTTAATAGGTAGACAAGTTCATGTCATTGTTTCTTTAGAAGTTAAGGTCATTGAACTTTTTTACAAGGGAAGCTGAAGTAGCAGAATGTAAAACTGAAAAATGGACTATCCTTTCAAAGGGCACAGTCTGCTACTTAAAATTAACAGGTTTATGCTAACATTACACCCATATTACTGAACAAAAGTTTCGTGTAATTACAAACACTATATTTGCTATTAATCATTAGATACATGTACATTCTAAGGAAAAGTGCCAATAATTTGTCTTAAGCAGCTTGAAAATGTAATGTTGTATGTTCTTAGACTTCAAAAGAGTTTACCTTCATGATTTTATAATTCCTGGTAATTACAGCATTTCTTACCGTGCAGTTTATCTTTTTAAGAACAATGAACTGTTTGATTTGAGCTGAGAGGTTTTTGTTTTGTTTTTGTATGCACAATACTTTTCAAATAAGCCTTTCTTGCAGTATCATGAAAAGTAGTCCACAGAAAGATTACTTTATTCAGATACTCAGTTCATTTTAAAAAAACATTTTTCAGGCACTATTTTCTACTCAGCACTATATTTTACGCTATTGGTGCTATGGTACCTATGTGTTCCACAACCAGTCATTAAAAATGAGCACTTAATTTTTTCTTTTTATTTCTCTAGAGTCAACTTACAGCGATATTAATTTTTGCTGTAACTTTGTAGTTGTATTGCATAGTTCTGTAACCTCAGAGTTTTTATTCCAAGGTATATTTTATACCTTGCATCATTTATAGTGGACAAAAATAGGTATGTAGTGCCCCTCTACTACTAGTGAAAGTTTTCTGGACCTTAATTCAGAAAAGCACAAAGTGATTCATCAGGGTAATCCACTACTTCCTTTAAAAGATCTGTGGTTGAACACACCATTGAAACAATGTTCTGTTAAGGTAATGTGCAGTACTTGTGCCAATTCCTTTCTTCTGCATAGGTACCTGGATATCTTCAGTTAACTTTTTTTTTTTTTTTAAGCAACTGCATGACATCGGAAGCTTGATTTAAGGAGACTGTTCTCCTCTCTCATTAGTTGTTTCTAATTCCAAGGTCACCATTTTGAGAGCTACATTGCTTTTGTGAGTCTGGCCTACATTTGATAGTTACTCTGGATGTACTGACATGAAGCACATGAAAAATAGAACAGTTTTTGAAGTTTAACAGTACTGGGTTGTGCAACTAACCTGTCTTTGCTATTCCAGCAGTAACTCTGGCCTGCCCAATGTTGTCATTGGTGCCTAGACTTCTCAACCAGAATAGGTTCCTGTTACGTATAGGTGGACATATGAATGAAGAAAAGGTTGTAACATGCCACCAAGTTTCTCATACTCTTTTGCTTCAGATGCACAGTGGCATTCTTTGATAACTGTCATTCATAATTCAGCTTCAGTCCTAAATCCTTTATACAAAGAAAACTGCTGGAACCCTGCCAGGTTTGAATGAGGTGCTTTCAGATACAGCTATAATGTCCTAATTGCAGATATGTTCTTGCTACTTAAGTTTTCAGCAGAGCTAAAGTTATGCTAGTTTCGGAATGTGGCTTTCAGACTGGTGGTGAAGTGTGAACAGATGATATGCTTTGTTGTTGTTGCCTTTGCTAATTTTCTTTATTTCAAGGCAAGAATTTTGTCTAAGCAAACATTAAAATTTCAATAGATTGCTTAATCACAGAATATGTTTCAGATATGTTGCATGTTCCCTATAATAGTCAAGATTTCTTCTTAAACTTTGAAAGATGATTTCTGGCATATTCAGCTTAACTTTGTTACTTTTTTTTTTTAATCAAAACTTACTCCTTAAATTTTTTTCTTTTTAAATTAGGAAGTCTTTACAGAGTACCATTTCTAAAGATTACTGTACATCTTGCATGTGATATGTCATGTATAGTGAATGTTAAAATGTATTTTTTTGCACCTGTTCACTATCATTTAAAGGTTTATGAACCACATGAAACATCACTTGGAGCTTGAGAAGCAGAGCAGTGAAAGTTGGGAAAGCCACACCACCTGCCAGCACTGTTACCGTCAGTTTCCCACCCCATTCCAGCTGCAGTGCCATATTGAAAGTACACACACACCTTATGAGTCATCTAGTAAGTTGAAATCTTCTGGTGACTTAAACTTTTTAAATATTGTCTGATTTCTACTTTGCTGGTTTGAAACTTCAGAATAAAGTTATTGTACTTTAAGAGCAATAATCTTGAGATGTAATAGAGGAGCTGAGCACTCATTCAATTCATGGTAGAGCAATGTGTGTGGAAAAGAAATGTAAAAAGCTTTTTGTTTGGTTTTTTTTTTGTTTGTTTGGTTTTTTTCTTCAGTTGAAAGCCTGACTGCAAGAATTCATGTTGTTTAAGGAACTTGCACTTCTGGCTTCCTGAAATTGTACAGGGAATTTCTTCCAAAGAGTAGAATAATTATTAGATTGCTCTACCTTTATAGATATATACAGTTTGCATATACATATGTATTATAATTTATCTACTTATGACCCCAAATGATTTATTTTTTTTTCTCATTTTTCACTTTTTCTAGCGATTTGTAAAATCTGTGAATTATCCTTTGAATCAGAGCAAGTTCTTTTACAACATATGAAGGACAATCATAAGCCAGGTGAAATGCCGTATGTTTGCCAGGTATCTCAGAGTGACTGTTTTGTATTTAGATTACACCCCCCTGTCTTTACTGTCAATAAACATTTAACAGGAAAGTAAAACTTTTTGTTTTAGGTATGCAACTACAGATCATCAGCTTTTTCAGATGTAGAAACACATTTTAGAACAGTTCATGAAAACACAAAACATTTGCTATGCCCATTTTGCCTCAAAGTAATCAAAATTGGAGCACCATATATGCATCATTACATGAGGCATCAGGTAAGCAGATACTTTCAATCCTTAATTCTAGAAAAATGCTAACTATATGTAAGGAATCTCTGGGAGAAAAAGAAGCGTAACTGATTTGTATGGTTGCTATGGTGTAAGAATATTTAATAAAATATGATAGAAGAATTGTGACTACTAGCAACTCCCTATTTAAAAAAAAAAAACTATTAAAAATCTCTGAATATCCTTGAAAGAGTACCTCTGCAATTAGGTTTCTTCATTAAGTTGTAGTGATGTGTTCTGCATTCCTTGAAGTTACTAGCAAACCTTTCACTAGTTCAAGGAGAGAAAAAAATTATGAAGTGCTGTGTCACCTTGTAACTGGTAACCTGATTACTCCTCCTCCTTAGTAATGATACTGCCTTGCATTTTCAAGTATTTAAATATTCTCTCTTTAATTCCTACACAGTATCTTGGCTTTGTACAATGTTAGGCATTTGTCTAGTTGATGTTTTAGAAACTGGATGACTGTTGCTTGAGACAAACTAGAGTTAGAGTTTTGTTTCTCATGACATGCATGCTTACTATAGATTGTCTTCTATTTTTAAAAGAAAAAAGGAATATACCGTTGCACTAAGTGCAGACTGCAATTTTTGACATGCAAAGAAAAAATGGATCACAAGACTCAGCATCACCGAACATTTAGGAAACCAAAACAGTTAGAAGGATTGCCTCCTGGAACAAAGGTAAGTGTTCATACTGAAAAAATAGAGGGGACAAAGGATAAAAAATTACTGGTAGAGAAAGGGGGTAGAATAGAAAGAAGTGTTTTTCTCCTTTCTTGTCAAAAGCACAGGTTGGTTTGGGTTGGGTGTTTTTGCCGCCTCTAAAACTCTAAAAAAATATTCCTATTACAAGAATTGCCAGGCATAGTTTATGTTTTCTTCACGGTGATCTGTGGTGTTGCACTCTGTCCCATTCTTCCACACATGTATAGGCTAGTAGTCCAGTCAGTGCTGCTACTTTCTTGAGCTGTTGGTTAATTCGCCCCCTCCTGTTTATCCTTTCTCATGCTAGGAGAAAAGGAGATAATCTGGATGTTGGTCTAAGGGGTCTGCATCATTTTTTGTGAAAGGTGGTACAAAAAATTACTACAGAGTGCAAGACTTCCCCATAGACAACATGTGCTTCATACTGAGTTCACCAGGTCTTTTTTAGCTCCACCAATTGAAGAGGAAAATAAAACCCCACAATTTCTGCTAAGTGTTTTATGAAGTAAACTTGGGTCCCCTTGGAACACTTGGGCTATCTTTAAATCATTCTCCTGTTTCTCGAGAAGGAACCACTTAGACTAGGATTTTCCTGTAGATTTCAGCACTTTTTCCTACAGTTTTTAAACGAATTGTGAAGATAATCTGTCCTTTCAGTTGAAAGGAAGAAGAAAATTAACATTTTGATCAGCTCTTCACAGTTCATTTGCTATAGAATCAGGAAGGGAAAATGACTGAAGTTGATGTTGATGGTGTTGCTTGGTAGAATGTAAAGCACTGATTCGCTGTTATGTGACAATACATCAATTTTCTAAATATTTCAAGGTCTTTGTGATCTAATAAAATCTTAGATTATGTTAAAATTTTGGTGCTAGTAGACCTTGACAGGATGTAGATGATGAAACTGAAGAGCTTGGAACCAGGTTTAGAAGGTGAGGTGCTTCTAAACTATGATTATGGGCAAGAATTATAATTAGGAGTCATGCTGCAAGTGAAAACTGGAGCGCACTGAATTTAAGGGCAGGACAGGGGAGCACAATAATGCCAGATTAGAGGTCAGAAACCAGAATTAGTCCTTAAGGCCCTAGAGTAAGAAGCAAAAAATATCTCAAGGAAGTGAATTGACTAGTCATGAGGCAACAAGACACAGGGCTTTTGTTAAATCCAGGCACTGATGGGATTGCTTGATACTCTGCTTAGTAGGGCTAATTGGTCTGAACCTTCTGTTTTCCACAGTTACATATATTTGCTTTGAGAAAGCAGGATGTAGCCAGTTGCAGATCTGAAAAGAGAGCAGTGTGTTTTGTCATGGCTATTTCCACCAAAGCAAGAGCTTTTTAAGCATCCAGTAAGCTATTGAGGTTACGTTTACTCCAGTCAACAGTATTTAGTATTTTCCAAAGCAGTCGTTCCTGAGGAGTGTTTCTTATGCAATGATTTTTGTCCTAAGATACCTTAAACTTTGAGACTAACAGTAATGGGAAGTTAGCTTAAATCTAAACAGAATTTTTTAAAAATTTCATACTTGTAGGTGACTATTCGAGCATCTGTTGGATCTCTTCAATCAGGATCATCAGCTACATCTTCTATTAGTACAAGTACTTCCACATTTCAGTTATCACCTAAAGCTAAAAATACAACCACTAAAAATCATAACAAATCTAATACAACTAAGTCAAAAGCAAAATCAAAACAAACTACATCAAGAAAGCAAAATGCATGGACCAACAGCAAAAAAAAAAAAGAAGTTACAAATACAGCACTGCATAATCTAAGGTAAAGTAGCATTAAAAATGTCTTTAAGTCTACTTCAAATATAAGTAACTAACCATTTAATTACCTTCTGATAACTTCTAACACTAATACAGAAGATTTGTCACTTCAGTTTTGCAGAAAAATCAGGCACATGAACTTTTCACATATTGATACAGTGATTATAATCCTGAATTTTCATTCACTCGTTTTGGTGGTGGTGGTGGAGCACTTTATGATGGAAGAACAGATGTTCTGGAAACTTCTATTTTAAACTTGGATATTTTTTTTTCTGTCTATCTACACAGAGCCACAGACCCTTGAAATACTAACTCATTAGGCAGATTTATGTTTAAAAGTGACCTGTGGAGGGGAATATATCTGCCTGGGTGTTCTTCGCAAGTTTTCTTGTGGAGGGAAAAATTTTTCCTCCTTTCAGTTTTAAAAAGGGTTTTGTTTTAACCCGATATTGTAAAAGCTTAAGTCTTGTTTGTCTTTAATTTGACGAGGTACCAAAAAAAAAATCAAGAGATTAAAGGCACATTGTTGGGAGAATGCTGTTCTTAGATTTACAATTTACTTGGGTTTTTCTATCCTTATATTAATAATTTAGCGGGTGTTTTATGGACTGAAATATAATTTCATTGGCTAAGATGAGATAGCATTTTTTTTGTCAAATATTTTATTTGCCTTCCAGTAAGGTGCTAACACTCACTGTGTGTAGCTGAGACATCCAAAAATTGCCAGCAAAACTGGGGAAGAGCAGCATTACATTTTTGCTTGATAGATATTTTAAAGCTTGTGGGAAATACCAGGGGTGACAGGAGAAACAAAGGCTTCTTCTGTGTGTTGTGGTGGATGAAGCATTTATTTGAAATCCTTCTCAAGTACACAGAAACAACAGCAGCAGCTGAAGTTGGAGGTTCTCATCTATTATAGTACCTTGTTTCCAGGAGTGTCCAATAGCAGATGTGTATATTAACTTTCCCGTTTTTAAGTAAGGTCATAAGGACAGTGTAATTCAAGAAAGAACAAAATTTTCATATGTGTGCTAACATAACCTATAATAATTATTTAACTGATAGATTTTGAAGTTTATCATTTTATTCCCTCATGTAGGCAAGCTTGCTACTGACTTAAAGCAATAAGATTGAAATAGTTACCTCACCTTAAAGGATTGATATTAACTATTAACTTTTTCATATTACTATTAGGTATCGTTTGGGAGCTCACAAATGTATTGAGTGTTACTCGGAAATAAAAGATTTTGCAAGCCATTTTCCTGCCTATGTCCACTGTAGCTTATGCAGATACAACACGAGCTGTAGCAAAGCCTATGTGAATCACATGATGAGGTAAGAATTCAAAGTTTTTACTTCGTTATCAAATACTTCCTAAATTAATATAAAGTGTGTTAAGTGTTTCTATTAGCTAAATTTTGAACTGAGTCATTGGACTGGCAGGAAAATGTCGAAGGTTGGATTTTTACTTTGTAATAAGTCCCCAAACCACATGTTCTTTGCCTTAAAAATCCAGTGTTTCAGACAGCATTCTATCTCTGCTTCAGAGTTTCTATGGAATCTTCCATAATCATGTCAGCCAGATATAAGAAATAATGACCAATTGTTGCATGCTTCTGGGATACGTGGAGTCATGTACTCAAAAAAACTAGTCTAAGTGGCAATGTTTTCTTACTTAGTTTTCACAGTGCTCGTCCAAGTAAAAGATTTTGGATCTATAAGAAGCATTCAGAAGAGCTACGGTAATTCAGCTTTTTTTCAGTTACAGACCTTTATGGTTTTACTTTCTGATAGTGAACTGATTAGTTAATTGAGATTGGAGCCTCTTGAATTTCTAGGTTGCCACAACTTAGAGCACGGAAATAAAAAGCATTAGCTCTTCCCTTAGGAGTGTTCAGTTCAGTGACAAATATTTTTTCATTTGTCCACAATTATTAACATCTTAACTCCGAGCAGTTTTTAAAAATATTTCTATTTCTTGATTTTTCCAGTTATTCATAATGTACAAAATACGGAGTGGGGGTGAGGGAAATTAAAAACAAACAAATCTACCAAAGAAATTCTTGCTTTACAGATAAATTTCTGTCTAAAGCGACATTCTTTGTAGTACATCCAGCACAGAGATGCCTTGGTGATAGACAGGGATTTCTGGGTGCTTGTTGCAGTATAAAAAGTAAGAATATGTTTTTATGAGTCATCTCATCTAAAGTTGCTAGAAATTTATTTTTTTTATAGTCTGTTCAGTTGCTACAGGTTAATAACACTGTTTTCACAGCCATGTTGTATTTATACTTCCTTCTTACGTTTTCTTCCCTAGAGGTGTGACTGTAGTGTGTCTTAATTGTGATTTCCTGACTGATGTTTCTGGCTTAGATAGCATGGCCACACATCTGAGTGAAAGCCACACTCACACGTGTCAAGTTATTATAGAGAAAGGTGAGTACATATAATGTCTTTTTTATATAGTGTATATATACATAAATACTTACATGCGGATGTCTCTTTGTTATTGCAATCCTTTTTCAATTGCATTATCATTATTTCTGTGTACTTGGATTTGAAAGTAAGTACTTCTGTATTTTCACATTTCAAAATATTTTTAATTAAATCCTTTATTTTTATTTTCAGTTTCTGTAGATATCCCAACTGCTGAACAAGTACCTGAGTAAGTTTTGTTTTACTGCTCAATGTTTATACCTGTTAACTTAGTGACAGATGGCCAAAACTTGCACTTTGAACTTGGGTTTCTTTTGCATTTCATAGAATTTGAAATGTATGAATGAACATAGACCCTTACTTTATTAGTGCTTTTTGCTCTTACCGTGTCCACAGTTACAAGAATGAGGAGATAAAATGCTTACCAACTGCAGCCAAAATCAAAACCAGGTTTTTGTTCAGTTTGGCTGAAGAGGCTTATAAATAATTCCTGAAGTACTAGAACTTCTTGGTCCTGACTTCTAAGTCTAGACATAGTGAGACTGTTACCTCAATTTATTTTCTATATTAGCTTTATTAAGTGGTTTATGTACTTTATGTAATGTTAATATAATTTTTTTAAATATGTGACATATATTCTATAGGACAAATTCTGTTTTAACATAGTTTTGAAAATAATTTCTAAAGATTTATAAAATATTATTTGTGACAATGATACACTGTTTTGTATTAATTTCTTAATTCTGAATTTCAGAGAAAAATTAATATGAGGCTTTTGGCATTCAGGTGCTCTTAAGGATTTGAAAAAGAACCTGCAATATTGTGGAGATTGTGTTACAGGATGTACTTGGCGTTTTCTTAGCTTTAAAAGAATCAGATGTGCTAAGCCACCCCTTATTAGCCCAGAACAGTACTTGAGTCTTTACAGTATAGCTTGTGAGCCTACTTATGCCTTTAATTGTGAAGGTTCAGGCATGTGTCAGTTGAATCAAACATCTGAGTTATCTCTAGACCATTTCAGAACACAGGAATAAAAGTGTCAATTAGACTGCGAAGAAAGATATTTTAAAAGATGGAAGAAAATAGTTTAACCCTGATATAACAACAAGGTGTCATTGAGTCCATCTAGCCTATAGCAGGATTCTAAAAGGGTTTAGCTATTCTTATGCATGATGAGAACTCTTCCAACAGAGCAAGAAATTCTTAGGCCTCTCAGCATATATCAATCTTCAGTGCGTTTTGGAAATATCCCCAATAGGTTATTTCATAACTAAGTATTTTCTTAGTTTCCATTAAGTGGCCAGTAAGAAGGAGGTACTGGAATAATTTGTGATGTGATCCAAACATAGGAATATTTTGGCTATGTGTATTAGTAGAGCAAAATATATGCTATAAACTTCAAACCTCTACTAGTAACTGTTTAGCATGTGATACAGTTGAATAAAGCTGGTGGTCTGATAGGATGACTAGTAGACATTATTAAAAAGAATTTAAGATATTCTGCAGGAAAGAACAAAGGAAGGAAGTTAATTTGGAAAAGCATTCAAAAAGAAAAAAAAATAAAAATTAATTTTCTGATTTTTGGAGCACAGAATATTGAAATTGAACAAAACACTGGAAAGAGTCAGCTAGGAGAGTGAGCAATATTCCCTTTGTTAATCCAGGGTGGCTTGTGTCCTTTAACAGTTTAGATTTCGGTGAAATTCAAACAATGGAAAAATAAAGTGTTGAGCTGTGATACATGTGAAAACCTTAGCTTTTCTACTTGGAGTTGGCATTAAGTGTTGGGAATTAATACTTGCTGAACTGTGTGTAAGGAAAGGTTATAAAGATTGAATGATGGGGGAAGAGGTACAGTTGTGACAGGCAGTCAGTACGGCATGAGGATCTTGCCATCTGGAATATATTACAGAGATGTCATGAAAATATTGAAGATTGTTGGATATACAGAGTATGTATTACTTAAGACAGGTGGGTGAGCAGTGAAAAGATTTTAAGTGAAGTCAAGAATATGTGCAGGTTTGTTTCTGCAAACTGCTAGATTAGGACAGATGCAGATAGCTGTTACTTTTGAGAGCTCTGATGTTGGCATAAGATTAGTTACTGGTACTACATGAGGTGACATAATCTGTGATAGTGCTTTTCGAAACTGTCATGCTCATAGACTTCATAAATTTCAGTAAATCTTGTCCTATTCCGTACACTAATCCTCTGATGCTTCGGACAAGAATATATCATTGCTAAATTGAAGAGCATGAATATGCCTGTGTAGCATTTTTTTTTAATTTCATTATTTGTAGTACAGAGTACACACAAAAATGGTCATCTTTTTGGTGGGATGGTTCTTCTTGGTACTCTGGTTTGCTTTGGAAGAGGAGGAGCTTGCAGACAATATTCATAACTTCTGCTGTGTAGTTTCTCAGTGATCTATGAAGGTTTCTTCCCATTCTTCGAGCTATAATTCAGTGAGGTATGACTTGTTTATGGGGCTCTTCATAATCACTTCATCGTTGGAAACAATGACTCACAACTACAATCTTGAACACCTTTGCATCTTCCCTTGCATCTCTTAGATGGTATCTTTTGGTATCTTCTGTTATATATCAGACTGTCTGTATATGTTGTGAAACTCCTCTTTATTGCTAATGATCAGACATGTTCCATGAGCTCTGCGTAGTGTTGATGAGATTGTTTTTGGAACAGAATTCTGCCATTAGTAATACAGATAACCTAGCTGGAGATGATGTTCCAGGAGAAATTGCTTTTTAAATTGTTACTCTACATAAGGTCACCTTATCTGTTTAGTGACCCACCTTGTGCTGAGGGAATAAGGCTTAATAACTGTGCCAGTACTCTTCTAATGCTCAACTCTCTGCTTTGCACAACAATTCACATATTTTTAAATGAACTGACAGCAGACATTTTTGTTGCAGGGGAGTTGAAAGTGAGCAGGTATCCTATACTGCCTTGGCTCACTGATACATCATTGTGGACCAGAAAATTGAACCCAGTCCAGCTTGGGATTATTTTGGTATGTAAGTGAACAAGGATCTGACCAGACCTTTTCCTTTTTCTTCATGCATTGAAGCTGTGGTATTTTCTTCTTGCATCTTGTAGGCAGCAGGTCTGGTCTTTTCTCCCAATATTGTAGTCTGGCAAAGGCCCTCCTGTGATAATGTTCTCTGCTTTGCAGCATTGACTTGCAGCTTTTTGGGGGCTTTACTCCTTTGAAGAGAGTCTTACCAGAAGTTTCACTTATGTGATGCAGTGTTTCTTTGCTGCTTATTTGCAGTGCTTCTTTGCTGCTCAAGTCTATTGATATCATCCCAAGCCAGAGTAGTGTATAAATGATGATGTATGTGTGTTGACTTCAAAGCCCATTTTGTTCTTGATCCTTGCTTCTGAAACTGAAGGGATTTGTCATTCCCCTTGGTTGTTCATTAAAACATACAGTCCTTATCTATTTAATATTCAAGTAAGTTGCATTTTTGTCTGCCAATAGTACAGTATATAGTGGCAAAATATGCTTTGAATGACTGGTGTCGCATGTAACTGCATAAACTGAATCTTGACCGGAGGAATTCATTAGCTGCTTTGCTGTGGTAGCTAGGCTTCTTTTTGCTCCTAAATACTGTAGGAGGAAAGCATGTGATGGAAGCAGATACATTTATTGAGCCTTGATTCTGAGGTTGGAGCAACTACAGTTCATTCATACCTTGTTCTTTTGGTATCATTTCTCATCTTCAGGGATGCTCTACTCAAGCTGCTGAGACATCTGCTGCTTTTGATTTCACTGCTTCTGACTTCATCTTTAGTTCTAGATTATCTATGGAAAGTTTATCCATCAACAGGTTGTGTGGATATGTGATGAGCTTTCCTTTTGTCATGATAAACATTTAGTGTTCCTCCAAACTCAACCTGCTGCTTACAGTGGATATGTCTTGGTTGAATGTCACATTTACTAGCTTCCAAGCAACCTAATAGGTAGATCTCATCTTACTCTGAGATCAATCACTGTTACAACCTCCTAGTTATAAGAGATTGTTTTTGATGAATGCAATCTATTTCTTGATTTGCAGCACTTTCTTTTTCTGCATAATCAAAATCTGAGATGAATTCATTTGTACCGGTATTTTTGTACTCTTCATTTCTACTATTCAAAGAGTAACAGTTTTGGTGATAGTGAGCTTCTGCAACCACTGTGGTATTGCTGATAATGGCAAGGATCCTGTCATCCATTGTCTCTTATACGTATTTTGTGATTAAGCATCTGCACGCTTAGTACTCAAGTCTCAATCTTTTTGCTACTTGTTTTTCTTCTGACAGAAGCTATGTTCCATCTTGAATGCTGCTGTTCAACTTCAAGCATTAGCTCCCTACTACAGGTTTTTCTTGCAGGACTTTTGTTTTGACACAGTAGCATTCAAAAAAGCATAGTGGGTTTGTGTTTTCATTGTGAACATGCTGTTGCATTTCAGAGGAAGTTGAATCTGTGATATTTCACTTTCTTTCAGGTTTCTGGCCACAACAAAAGTGGAATATGATTGTAGATTTTCATGGCTTTTGGAAAAGTTCTTGAAGAACTTCCCAGAAATTACATTATATTGATACTTCAGTTTGAAGTTTTGTGATTTACACATCTTTTTAATGCTCATTTGGAATATTATCATTTGATTCTTTTACAGCTTTGATACAGAAATTTTTTACTTTTCAGACTTGCTGTTAAAACACTTGTAAGATACAGATAGATAGATTGATTGATTTGCCAGATTTGTGTAAATAGTTCATGTAGAAACAACTGGCATTGTGGCATCCTGTTGCCATTTGTGTGAGGATCTCAGCAAAGTTACTCATGTGGAAAACTCATAACATAAAACCAGTACTAAACTATGCAAGTAAATCTGCTTGTCTGGATATTAAATATCCCTGATTGTCCCAAAAATTACAAAGTTACATGAATAATGTACCATACTGGGCCAGATCTGCAAGGACAACATGAATGTGCATGGTATAACCAGTTTAGCTTATGGTCAAAGAATTAAGATTTCATTTTTATGTACCTTAACCTGTCTCTTTTCTGTTATTTTTAGGACATTGAGTGTCACTGCATTATGGGTTCTTAAAAGACATGCAGTTGCAGAACAACCTTGCTTGAATAGCAAATTCTATATTACCTTTGTTTTGAAAGTCATTCTGACAAGAAAATAAATATTTCTGTTATTCTGCTAA